TGCATTTAGAGCTTTGGGAACTGTATTTCTCACCCTCCTGAACTGGAGTTAATGCCCCCACCACCTGAGAGCCTCCTGCAGGAGGGAGGGAGCAGCTCGACTACCACATCCCTGCTGGCTCTGCTCCTGGTTCTCCTCAGCACAGGGCGGCAGAGTTGACAACCGAAGAACCAACCCCACTGAGGAGGAAGCCAACACCCAGGAGGAGACTCTTTCTCAGCACTGAAGCGTTACTCAGACACCAAGAGGGAGGCCTTGGGAAACAGGTGTGAAGGGGGGGAGAGGCACAGGGGTCTCCCGAGATCCTGAGGAGCTCCTGCCTCCTCCCCAGGAAGACCCTGAGGCCAGGATTCTGTGGTGGGGCCAGGAGTGGAGGCCGCGGCCCTCTGAGGGGTGAATCTGAAGGAGCAGGCGTTTAGTCCGCTCGTCTAATGAACTCTCACACCTCTGCCTGCCTCCAGCAGAACCCAGTGGTCTGTTTACCACAGGTCACTACCAGGGCAGCCCAAGTGTCTGCACTAAAATTAGACAAGGCGTTGCTCTGGTTAAGGGTGACTGGAGAGTGGTTCATAGGGTCAGTGGGTCTCCAGTTTGTATTTGACACCATTGTTGTCAATTGCGGACTTTACTGCTATGTCCAAGGCAACACAATTGTTGCTTGTCGATTGGTTTCCTCTGTATGCCAATATCCGGCTTGCATGGTGCTCATTTCTAAAGAACCAGGCACTGGGCCAAAGAAGCTACAAACCCCAGCACAAAACACAAACAAACCGAAAATAGAAACCTGAGAAGAAAAGACAACAAAATCCATCCAAAAGCTCCCAACTCTGTCAAAGGCAATCCAGGGGATCAGCAGGAAGGAAGTCGTAGCCCACACAGGAGAAAAGTCTGAAATGGTATCAATGGAGATAAAACAGCTCAAAACTGTGCCTGGAAAATTCAAAGAAGATATAACCAAATAGAGCATGACCCTAAAGAAACAAATGATCGGCAAGTCAGAGAAGACAATAATAAATCTAGTGGAGCTAAAGAAAGTGATGCAAAGCAAGGGCCAGGGATTTAGCTCAGTGGTTCCACTGCTTGCCTTGCAAATGCAAGGTCCCGAGTTTGATCCCTGTACCAAAAAAAAAAAAGGAAGAAAAAAAGTGATGCAAAAGACAAATGCCTAGCATAGAAAAGAAATAGAGTCCATAAAGACCTTCCAGACAAATCCAGGGGATTAAACACAGGACTGAAAGTAGGGGCAGCGGAAGAGACCGATGTGAGGGCAGAGTATCAGATCAATGATCAATTCCGAGAAATGCCGAAAGACAAGGAAATGTGAAAACCAAGCCCAACTGCTGCTCGTGACTCAAAGAAGACTAATAGGAATTAATGAAAAATCAGAAGACAGCACAAAGGGCATAAATAAACTTTTTACAGAAGTAATAGCAGAAGACTTTCCAGACATGGAAAAAGAATTTAACATAGAGAGAACTATGGCACACAGAACCCCAAATAGCTATGATCAGAAAAAAACTACTCCATGCTACACAATAATCATACCAGAAATCCAACACAAGAACACAATCTCATGTTCTCACTGGCTTACACCACCAATGCAGGCCATGACTCTGTCACTGACCAATGACTGCGCCAAGGAGTGACGTGAACCACCAGTGCTACACATGTGACTGTGCCATCAGGCAGCTTGTACTACTGTTGGTACAAATGGATCTAATCACTTTTATTAGCATTTTTACAGACAAAATTAATAAAAAGTCTTTAAATGGACTGAATCTAGTTAGTTGCTTGAATTTGAAAAATTATTGCCCAAATATAAATATGGTGTATATAATATGCATTTACAAGCATTGTACCACAAATTAGCTATATCAACACTTTTATACCATTTTAAGGTTTTCCTTGAGGAATTGCAATGTGATGACACTTGATCTTCTAAATCAATTCTTTTATTTGCATTATTGTATTCAAAGACAAGATCAGGTTTTATGTTCCCTATGGTTCAAGCCATCCAAGGGGACAGTCACGCATGTACCACAGTGGTACAAGCCAGCGGGACAATCTAATTCAAAGCAGAGCTGCCCAGCAGAGAGCCATATGAATTACAGCCCCGTCATGATTGTGTTATAACCTATTAGAGAAAAGCAACAAATCACCTATAAAGGAAAACTCACCAGAATTACAACAGACTTCTCAATGCAAATCTTAAAGAAAAGGAGATCTTAAAATGAAGTATCTCAAGCCCTAAAAGAAAACAGCTGCCAACTCAAGACTGATATGTCCTGGAAAATTAGCTTTCAAAATTGATAGAGAAATAAGATATTTTCATGATAAAGAGCACCTAAAGAAATTCATGACCACCAAATCAACACTCCCACAAATTCTAAAGGACAACCTAGAAAGAGACAGTGAAGTTAACAATGACAAAAGGCCCAGTAGAATGAATGCATCACATAGGGCTAGCAATTAAGTTGAAGGGGAGGAAAACAAAATAGCAATAAGAAAATAATACAATGAAAGGAATATGTCAATACCTACCAATTATAACTATTAATGTGAATGGACTCACTTGGCCAAAGATACAGATTAGCAGAATGGATCAAGAAACAAATCCAATGGTATGTTGCATAAAAGAAATATATTTAACACAAAAAGAAATTCATAGACTAAAAATCAAAGGCTAGAAAACAGTATTCCCTACAGTGAAAACCTGAAAACAAGCAGGTGTAGCAATCCTATTTTCAGACGAAGTGGAATTTAATCCAAAGCTGATCAAAAGAGGCAAAGAAGGGCCGGGGATTTAGTTCAGTGGTTCCGGCACCTGCCCTGCAAGCACAAGGTCCTGAGTTCGATCCCCCGTGCCAAAAAAAAAAAGAGGCAAAGAAAGACATTACATATTGGTTAACAAAACTATCCAACAGGAAGAGATAACAATTATAAACATATATGCACCAAACTATGGTGCACCCAACTTTATAAAACAAACACTGTGGACATGAAAGATCGTACAAACCTCAGTACAATTACATGGAGGGGGACCTCAATACCCTACTATCACAAATCAATCAACTAAACAAAAAAATCAACAAAGAAATGCCAGAGTTGAACTAAACCTTTGAACAAATGGGCTTAATAGATATCTATAGTGCTCTGCCCAAGAACAACAGAATACACATTCTTTTCCACAGCACATGGTACTGTCTCCAGAATAGACCACATATGAGCTAATAAAACATGCTTAAGTAGATGCAAAAGAATCAAAATTAGTCCATGCATGTTATAAAATCAAATGCAATGAAACTAGAAATCAATAGCAAAAGAAACCACAGAAGTCATGGAAATTAAACAACATACTCTTGCATAATCAATGGAAACAAAGGAAGAAATGAAGAAATAAGACTGTTCCTAGAATTAAATGATAATGCCAATAGAACATACTAGAGTTTATAGGACACAATGAAAGCAGACCTATAGGGGCCATTTATAGCTGAGAATGCTTACATCAAAAAAAACAGAATGAGCCCAAATAAATAACCTAATAACCTTTTCTAGGACATCTTAAAGTCCTAGAAAAGTGAGATCAACTCAAATCCAGAGCTTGTACAAGAAAGGAAGTTATAAAGATCAGTGAAGATATCAATGAAATGGAGATTAAAAAACAATACAAAGAATCAATGAATTGAAGAGTTAGTTCTTTGAAAGAATAAACAAAATGAACAAATCCTTAGCCAAATAAAGAGGAAAGAAAAGATACAAGTCAATGCAATTAGAAATGAGAAGGGTTTTCACCTTTCATCACAGTGGAGACTTCCAAAATCCAGAAAATTACTAGCAACTACTTCACAACCTATATGCCAAAAAATTGGAGAACTCAGAAGAAATAGAGAGATTCCTAGATAGATAGGAATTACCAAAACTGAAGCACAAAGACTTTAAAATCTTGAATAATCCAATAACAGGCAATAAAATTGAAGCAGTAATTAAAAACCTACCAATCAAGAAAAGCCCAGGATTTGATGGACTCACTGCCAAATTCTATAAGAATTTCAGGGAAGATCTAACACCAATACTCCGCAAATGCTTTGATGAAATCAAGAGGGAAAGTCTACTCCCAAAATCATTCTTGAAAGCTAGCATTACTCCGATCCCAAAACTAGACAAAGATCCACCCAAAAAAACAGAACTACAGGCCAAGCTCTCTAATGAACATAGATGAAAAATATTCAAAAAGATATTGGCAAACAATGTTACAAATCATCAAAGAAACTTACACCATGACTGAGCAGGCCATGGGACTCAACACACCCAAATCAATACATATAGTCCATCACATGAACAGAAGCAAGGACAAAAATCACAGGATCCTCTCAATAAATAGAAAAAGCCTTTTACAAAATCCAAACTCCATTTATGATAAAAACCCTGAAGAAAAAAGGTATAGAAGGACCTTATCTCAATCTGATAAAGCCATTTACTACAAACCTACTTCCAACATCATGTCAAATGGGGAGAAACTGAAAGCTTTTTCTGTAAAATCAGGAACAAGACAAGGATGTCTATTATGTCCACTCCTGTTCAACACAGTCCTCAAAACATAGCCCGAGCAGTCAGGCAAGAGAAAGAAATAAAGAGATACAATAGGAAAGGATGAAGTCAATGTATTGTTATTTGCAGATGACATCATCTGCAGCTGGATTCGGGCAGGCACATGGGCAACCCATGCCGGTTACCGCTGGTGGCTCTGCCTTCTGTGCATGGTGCTGAGGGTCCTCAGTGAAGGCCACGCCCAGAACAAGGGGCACAACCTGTAGGTCTGGTTGTGCATACATAAGTGACTTCAAGGTCACACGCTCAAGTGTTGACAGGCGTTCTGTGCGGAGGAAGAAGGAGTGGAGAGGAGCCAGAGGCGATTTTCAGAGTAGATTACATTACTCTTCTGACGGGACCCACGGCCCACAGCAGACACTCCCAGAATGAGCTCATCAAAACCATCTGACCTTCTGGCAAAGCCTGGCTCGTCCCATTTGCTTTGTCCACGGCCTTGCCTCTGGGCTTTGTCGGATCCTTCTTTTTTTCTAAATCTTTAACTGAAAAAAAGAATAGAAATACAGCAGCATGTTACATTCGGATCTAAAGGAAAACATTCAATGAATTTTACTAAAACCTTTGCAAGCTCTAAAAGCATTAGCAGAAATTAGCTCCGAGACAAGAACTCATCCCCAAATATCTGAACTGCTGTTACTCCCAGTTCATCATTCCGCATGTGTAGTTCACGATCACACTCCTCATGGGCACCTGGTGCCGTACACAACACATCCTCATCCCTTTTCCACCCCCTTCCCTCCCCTCCTCCCCCATCCCTTGATTTCTTTAAACTGCTGGATTTTTTTTTTCTTCAGCAAGGTTGTAAGATGCGAAAGACTCTTCATAACGACTTTGGTTGTGTATTTGCTCTGGGCAGATGTATCAAATAAACTTAACCCTTCAGAATGGCTGTAAAATGGGCCTGGTCATCCCCATCCCACACAAGGGAATGAAAAACCAGGAGGCTTAAACGTCTCACAGAGCCAGTGAGTGTTGGCCTAGGAGTCAAGCCACATCTGCAGGTCTCCAGACCTCGCCTATGAGCTGAGGCCCCATTCTAGAAAGATCTTAGCCACAAATACTCTCATTTGGAGCTGCTTTATCTGTAACAGCAGTGAAGAACCCCATAAATTTCCTTTCAAGCTTAAAAACCATGTTTCTGCTAATAAGCGAGGATCGTTCTCACTTAAATAAGGAAATATTCGGAGACCAAGAAGACTGCTGGCTGTTTCACAACGCAGCCCAGCCTGCACCGTTTGTCAACTCTGCACGCCTTCTCTGCTCCAAACCCCACGGCAGCTTCTCAGCATTGCTTGGCAGCTTAAGCCTTGAGGCCTTCGAGACGATTGCCAACTGTCAAGTTTCTGCACAGAGATGTCCTGTGAGAACACAGAAGCAGCCATGGCGAGATATTTCATCTACTTGTTACATTCATTGCATGGGGATTGCACGTCCATTGCAGGGGAAGCTCTGATTCCCTTGCTGTCTGCTGCAGGATACGGATCCATTCCTCTCTCTCTCCTGCCTCCATCTCTTTGCTGAGGGGGTTAATATTCAAAGCTTGCCAGGGACAAAGCATCCTAATTCTACTATTCCCATCCCTAACAATCTTCCTTGCCTTTCTGGTACCCAGAGATTAAATTCCAAGCTCTAATAGCAACAACAGCAAGATACTTCTAGGCCAACTGACCTAATTTGTTACGTCTAGTTTTTAAAATTGCATTCTTCAGCTTTGCTATAGCATTGGCACTTTGGATAACTCTTTTTTAAAAAATATTTTTTCTCAGTTTTCATAACGACATCACCCCGGTTCCCTCCTATCCCTCAAACCCTCCTTTATATTCTCATTCTTTGGATCCCTTTTCTACTTCCATTCCTGAAACATGACCATATGCTAAAATTGTCTTAACATCTCCACACACCCCGCCTGCAATGTCATCACCTCGCACTTTACTTTCTTGCCCTCGATGGAGAATTTCCACAGCTTTCGTCTTCAACCCTGGGCACACAGACATGGGCTGGGGTCCCAGTTTGCTTACATTTTCTAAGAAAAAACAAGTCTGCAATTTTAATATGAGAAAAATTGTGCTGAGCAAGGTTCCCAGTAGGAAAGGATTTAGAGGGGAATAACAACTTAGGAGGTGAGGCTTTGGAGAAACGTCACTGGGAAGGTGATGTGGACGGCAGACTGGAGATTTGGGTGAATTTTCCAGGCAGGGGTCAGCAAAACATCGCTGCCAAAAGGAAAAATGGGCACCTGAAATGAACATTTGCTGGAATAAACCATAACAGCAATATATAGATGAATAAGGAGAAAAATCAGTCACTTCAGAAGCTGGGGCAGTAGGTCACATAGGAAGTGTAACAGATGTGTTACACAAAGCTCTTATCCCCTTCATGAGGGGCAAAATAAGCAACAGACAGTCACAGACAAAGTGGCCTTGGTCACAGTAGTGCTGACTGTGCCTTCCTGTATGCTGGTGACATCAGTCTACACTATTCTTGCCACATGCCATCACCCTCATCTGCAAATGGGGAAACCAAGGCTGGAAAGGGTTGCATTGCTGTGGTGGATGTTGACTCATAATATCCACAGATCAAACCTGCTGCTACGGCTTGTATCTAGATGTCCCCCAAAGCCTGGAGCTCACAGGAGGGGCTTTTGGGAGTGACTGGATCCCCAGAGTGTGATACTTGATTAGTCCACAGATGAGGGTAAGAGCTGAGTGTGATGTTGGGCCTGGCCTGGAAGGAGAATATATAGATACATATCCTTTCTACTCCCTTGATGACTCGCTGCTTCCTGCCTACCCTGCCATGGACTGTTTCTCCTCTGCCATGACACCCTGTTTTTGAAGCTGACTATGGACTGAAACCTCTACAAACTATGAGCTGAAATAAACTCCTCCTTTAGTTTGTGGGTGTCAGGCACGGGGTCTTGGCAATGAGAAAAGTAACTAAAACACCTGCCTTTCTGTCTTTAAAATCCAAAGATTGTACCTTTTGTTTCCCTGTGTGTCTGAATACTGGACTTACAGAGAATCCGAACCCTGCACTAATTGCAAACCTCTATCCACAGCTTTGTCCCCAGTGTCCCCCTACATCCTCACTGTCCTGGATCCAACTCTGAAATGTTTCCAGGCAGACAAGACCAGGTTTTAGCTCCAGCTCGCAAGGAGCAAGAATGTAACTGAAATGCAAATGGAAAAGAAAAGAAAGCCACGCAGGCAAAGTTCTTTTCATTTCATTCTTAGAGATTATTATCTAAGCAGAACGTGTGCCTCTACCCTGCCAATAAAAACAACGCAGCTTAGGAACATGAGCTGCTTACATGTAACCTATCTCGCTAACCCACTAGACAGTTTCCCTCTGGTTCTCCATGGAGCCAAGAACTCTGAGGACAGATGAATTTTTCCCAAGGGCCTTGAACATTCACCACTGAGAAAGGGCTTCTGTTGGGCCGTGTTTCTTCTGCTGTTCAGTTGGCAGAGTGCTTGAAATATTCAACTGCAAAATTTTCATGCTTGAGTGAAATGGATCATTTTGCCTTCTCTCTTTTACTGTTTCTCATAGACTTTGAGAAAAATTATTTCTGTCACCTATGTAAGGATGCAAGGGACCAAAAAAATGATGTGCCAGTGGATGGGGAGAGGCTTGGTTTGTGCTGAAAATAACATAAAGAGCTTTTCCAGATCATCAGACATGAGTCTAAAAGATTTCCTATCCTTTTTCCTTCCTTTCCTTCTCTCTTTCTTTCTTTCTCTTTCTTTCTTCTTTCTTTCTTTTTTTTTTTTTTCTCCCTTTATTTTATTTATTTATTCTGGTGCTTTCTGCCCCTCTGAGAAGCCCCCGCACACCCTACGTTTTCCATCCACACAGAGTACAATTCGCAAACCGGTTCAAGTCCACAGCTTCCCACGTCCGCCCTTCTCCAGTCACGACCATGGCAAACAGGACGGCTCCCTCTAGCACCTGCCCTGGTGACTCCATCTGCAGCTCTGCAAGTGTCAATCGACTGAGTGTCAGAAAGTGAAATCCCTGCTGGATGGGCTGTGTCACTGGTTGGGACTCTATGGAAGAGATGAGGCACCATCCTCCGGTTCTGCATACCGACTGGGCATTCACCTTCCGGGCTCGTGACACGCAGCTGTCACCCAGCGAGGAATGGAAGAATTTAAGCCTCACAAGCTTGTCAGGGACACGGAGATCAGAGTGTGGTAGGGTCCAACCTGAGGGGAGGCTCTGGACACTAAAAAGCACAGGGAAAGATAACTAAGGAAGGCTGGGGACACAGGTGGGGGGCATTTAACAACTAAAACTTAGAGAATAGAGAGGAACACAAGAAATGAGGAAAGGGAAGGGCAGAGAGAATAAGAGCTCATGAAAGTTTGAACATAAGCTAAGGAAAATCCGCAAATCTAAAAAACACCTAGGGCTCTGCCCCTGAGAATAAACACCACAACTCAGCTCCAGGGCCAGCGCTCCAAGAGCTGCCCACACTCACTTCTGAACTGGCCTTGCACCGGCTTGCTCTCCTTGTCTTTGTGGTATGCAATAATTTGAACTGTGTAGTTCTGCTCCGGCATAAGACCTTGAATAATTGCTTTAGTTGCAGTGTTTTGGAGATTCAGCTGATTGGTTTTTCCTCCTGTAATAAAACACAGAGAGAAATCAGTTCTAAGGAATATGGTTTACACATTGAGAAGTGTTATTAACCAGCAATCGACTTTAAAGGCAAAGCCTTTTTAAAATTTGTCTTTATTGTACTGCTGACGATGTACAATGTAATATTTTGGCATACATGCAAAGGGAAAGATATTTAAAAATACATGTCCGTGTGTATAGCACTTAATTGGAATATAATTTTCATTCTCGTTTTCAGCTGTGTATCTTTTGCATTAGATTAAGCCATTGTGTACATTAGGTAAAAGCACATGCACGAAAATCTGTCATCGTAACACACTATTACTTCTATAGCCAGGAGAAAGCACAGCATGAGATAATAGAGATTCAAGCTGGCCCAGGGCATCAGATCCACTCTCTGAGAAAGAGAATTCCACTTGAACGAGGAGGGAGAGACATGCAAGGCTGAGGGTAATCATCCGCCATGGAGCCCGTCCTGGCCTCTCTACAGCAGTGCAAAGCACCCCGGACACATGAGCTGTGTAACTATCTTCCATCTGGCCTCCACGGGTCCAGGGTGCTGCAGGAGCCACTCGGCACCTGGGTACTTCTGAGTTCACTTGATGCATAAAAAGATGTCAAACCCCATGATCTCTCCACCAAATCAGACTGATCCTAAGGCTTCCCCAAAGATGCTTGCTGATTATACATGTATCTTGTTTGCAATCATTATTGCATCTGAGGAAAGTAAAATTAATTTAAGATTTCTGTCCTCCCAATAGGCACAGAGAAAAGGGTCTGAAACTGGCAGAATTAGTCAAATGTAACAGACTGTACTTCAATCATATTCTAATAAAATTCATGTCTGAAGCTTTTGCTGCTATTATCAGTGTTGGCCTTTACTAAAGGAAAAATGGAGCCTGTCTCTTCCCAGAGGCCATTTCCTTAAATTCATCTGTGCCCAATATGTTAAATCCGGCTTCACAAACTTCTTACGCCATTTAAAACTCATCTACTCTAAAGGGCAACAAGCAAATCTTTCATAATGCATGGTTCACTTTTTAAAATTCCATAGAAAACCCTGTACCTCAGAATCTCACTTTGAGAGCCATAGGGTTCTTATTTTATTAAAGCCTTTGAGAATCTTGCAATAGAAAAGCTTTAAACTCTGTCCGAACCAGCATTTCTCAAATTTATTTGACTATTAAATCCTCTGGCTGCATAGCAGTTATTAACATTCTGCAAAAGGCCATGGGGCTTTCTTTGAGAAAGACTGGCACAAATAATGCTTGGACCATGTCTCACGGTGCTAAAACATCTACAAATATCTCTGTGGCTAGCAGTAGTGATTGTACTTTCTGTTTACCAGGTGTAATCAAGTCCATACCAGAAGGAAAGACTTGATTGGCTTAGTCAATGCACTAGGGACACTGGGTAAATAAACCCAATATCCACCATGGAATAATTTGCTTCCATCCCCAGTTTTTATTTGTCACTGGAATTGGGCATCTGCTTTTGGGGATGGAAGCATCAGGTTGAGGTCTGGTCCAGAAACCCCAAGCCCCTACTAAGATTCTGTGATTCCTTGGGGTCCTTAAAAGTTCGGTATTACCAGCAATCAATCAGGAAACGTTAAAGTACTGACTACCTAGAAGAAAAAAATGACCTTTCAAGATTTGATATAGGGAATTCTCAAAGGTACCACAAATTAGTAACTTGTATTTCAAACTCTAGAATCATAATGATGTTTAGAAATCTCTTAAATTTAAATTTTCCATGATGCCTTATTTTAAAAAAACAATCAAAGAAATTCAAAGGTGGGCCATACTCCAATATTCAGTCTGACACAGGCTGGAAAATGAAATGTTGGGGGCCGGGGATTTAGCTCAGCGGCACTGTGCCTGCCTGGCAAGAGCAAGGTTCTGAGTTTGATTCCTGGTGCCGAACAAAACCAAATGTTGCTTTCTACAAATAAAACTTCTGCAGGCCAAAGGGGAAGAGCAGGCCCTAGTCTAGAAGTACGAGTTAGAAGTCATTCTAATGAGTCTAGAAGTACGAGTTCTTAATAAAAGAAGTTTCCTTAGCCAGGAGCAGTGGTGCACATCTATGATCTCAGCACTTGGGAGGCTGAGGCAGGAGGATTACAGGGAGTTCAAGGCCAGCCTGGGCTGCACAGTGACACTCTGTCTGAAAAAGCTGAACAAGGAATTAATTGATTAACTAATCAATTAGTTAAAATAAAATGTGTCCTTTTTAGTGACCAATGAAGAAGTCAGGTGTTTCACCTGCTTGCATTGAGATTTAAATCAAACACTGAGTGAGATGTCCACATTCATGAGCAACAGCACTTCCGTCTTCCTCGTTAAATCAGTCAGGGAAAGATTTCCAACAGAAGTCCAGCTTCACTTAGCTCTATTTACCACCAATAAGCAGAAAACATTATTGTACAATTATAAAAAGTTATTTATATGGATATGTCTCACAGGAAAATGCCATTATTACGTGTTCATTAGAGACCCCTGAGAACAGCTGTCACCATCCTGGGTAAGAGTCACCCCGCGTCCACTCTAGGGCAGCCGCTATGCTGTTTCCTGTCTATGAATTTGTCTGCCCAATGGTCTTTGTAATGTACAGACCCGGATCCAGGGTTCCGGGTGAGACCTGACAGCCCGCGCTCCTAACAGGCACCCAATAGTGTCCCTGCCGCAGCCTGAGCCCTGGAAACCTAGTTCCTCATCCTGTCTTTGTCTGCAGACAGCCATGTACTTCCCCAGCAGCGCTTGGCTTATTATGTGAATATAATAGACACAAAAAATACGAAAGAGAAAAATTCAATTACAGTGTTTTGGGGGATTAACCCAGGGGCATTCTCCATTGACCTGCACCCCCAGGCCTCTCCACTTTATTTTCTTTCTACATTGAGAGAGGTTCCCACTAAGTTACCCAGACTGACAAAGCTTGTGACCCTCCTGCCTCAGCCTCTTCAGTGTTGGGACTACAGGCATGGGCCACTGTACCCACCCAGTAGAACCTTTTTTACATAACTACTTTATATAAACCTGTTCAACTTATGATTTTCCTGTTTTGATTTATTACTTATTTTCACAGTGTCTGCTTAACCTTCTAAGTTTAGTGTATGATTGCTGAATAATATTTATCAAGTTAGTTAATTATAATATAGTCAGTCACAACCATTGAACAGCCAGGTGTATTACATTTTTTACATGTCAGTAAACCAAAAGTATTTACTCCATGCTGAAAGAGAGGCAGTAAGGCTTTGTGATAGTTTGGAAATTGGGATTTTTGAAATAAGGCCTTGCTATGTAGCCCAGGCTGGACTGGAACTCACAGCAATCCTCCTGCCTCAGCCTCCCGAGTGCTGGGATTACAGGTGTGCACTACCACACCTAGCTAGTCTGGAAGTTTGGCTGGAAGAGAATTAACTACATTGAATCCAAGTCACTCTTTACATGTTGTGGAACATTATCCCCTCGATTAGAGGGTAAGCCAAAAAGATTAAATAAAAGAAAAAGCTTTCAAATGATCCTAAAGCCGTACTTGGCACTATGTTTTTAATTACCTGTGTATGAAAAGTTGCTAATGTTCCAGAAAAGAGCTGATATTTTTACCTGAAGCTGGAGTCACCAGAAGTTTGTATCCACCGAACTTCCCCCGGGGAGCTTTCCAGGAGATCTGAACACTGTCCTCAGACAGCACATTGTATCTCAGCCTCGTGGGAGCAGACACTGGAAAGGAGATAGAGAAACACTCTAAATGTGCATAGTCTGCTGCATTTGCTGGCGGAATGGTTGAAGTGACATAATTAAAATACACAAGACCTTGTCAGCCTCAAAATACATTCTTTCCACAACACCATCACTGAGTTGATCAGATTGCAAAATAAGACAAAAGTACAAGCATTTGGTTTTCACCCAAGGAACTCCCATTTGCCAAATAGCACTGACCTCTGACAGTCTTAGGAGGCACTGCTCTGACTTCGTTTAACAATCAAAGCCAATCTTGTCAAACGCTTCTGTTAGTTGCAAGAGTGAATTATTCTCCTCGGAACATGCAAGCTTTTATGACCGATTCTACCGACCCATTGCCTGTAGGTTTTTCCCTGTGGGAATCCAGGGTTTGTGGTGCTAGGGTGCTTGCAGAGTATTACAGGCCCTGTTACACTAAGAAAACATTTGAGGAGACGATGACAAAAGCATCGAGGCACAGATGAAAGATGACTGCTTAGTAAACGTGGAGCCGCTCTTCAAGGACAGCTGATTTGCACCTGTCAGTCACGTGACGCATGGGTCATGATTCAGCCCAGAATACTCCATCTTTTTTTGCACATCACAGAAACGTGTGACTCTCTTTCCCTCTCGTGTAAGTCATTCAAACTTCAAGACATATTTTGGGCACGCTCCGTAACTGTTCCAGGATTTCAGAAGAAGTGCTTTAGTAAGAAGGCTTTTGTTATACAATATCTAAGTTCCTTTGTCAAAAAGCAAAGTTGGCGGAGAAGTCCGCGCTCATTTTCCGCTCTTCCCCACAGCATTTCCTCTCGCTTGCCGGGGGGGGGGGGGG